CTATCGTAATAATACGAAATATTTTTTAGTCCGCGGATGAGCGGCTCATAGAACGACTCTGAGTTTGTTTTTTCAAGTACAAGTGTTTAGCTCATAGCTCCATCATCTCTGTCGATTTATGTATTTGAACAAGCTTAAGGTCTCATAGATTAATTCATTTTAATCATGCCTAAAATAATTTAAATTTGAGAGAAAACTCATAAAGATCTTGATGAGTAATAAAATTCAATCGGGTATAGGCTCGCCCCACGCTGACGCACAAAAATATAGCTAATAGAAACGAAAGGTCTAATAGATTAATTCACTCCAATCCTACCTAAAATAATTTCAAGTGCCGCAGCTAATGAGGATTCCCTCATGTTTTTTGTTGTGGTATTTTGTATTTGAATTAGAAGTAGAGAAGTACGGACGACGTCACCATGTTTGTAAAGGATGGGGTGGGTGTAGATAATACTCTGCATTGCAAAGTGAAAGGTATTTGGGTAATGGATCTATCATCCATCAAAGCCCCTTCTCAGACAGCAGTGTTTACATTTTAAGGTTTTGTGTGTGAATTTCTTCATTTGTTTACAGATACTTAAGAGTACTCGTGCCATCACTCTGTTGAGTATGGACGTGGAAGCAATACCACCAAGTTTTAATACTCCCCCGATACCCAGGTTTTGAAACCTTCTCTAGATCTGGTGTCTCTTATTAGATAAGTCGATCGGTTTGTCATTTTTGGTCCCACCATTCGACACAAAATGTGTTTTATACTAGAGGTGTTTGGTTGGTATCACGTGTTGTGGAATAGGTTTAACTCACTTAGGTTTAACTCGAAGTCAGTAAGACGCTTCTACGGATATCGAATTCGTTCAGTATTCTACGTACCTAACATCTTACGTGAGTAATCTACGCAGGTCGCTTATCTGTTTTAATTACTTTAAATGCATAGCACTCGCTTTACATTTTATAGACTTTGTACACACAAATACAAATACCTCGTCTAAAAATTGTTTTGTACGCGAATTACGAATTTTCTCCCAAGTATCACTGTGAAAATTGTAGTGTGGGGATGCATATCCTTATGAAAGTTGCAGCAAAATAATGTATATCTTTGTGAAAATCGTAGGCTGGGAATGTGTATGTTTATGAAAATGGTAGCCCGAGGATGCATATCTTCATGAAAGTTGTAGCCTAATAATGTGTATACTGTTGTGAAAGTCGTAGTCTAGAGATGTACATCCTTACGAAAGCCAAAACCAGAATGTGACACTCTGTATTGTTTGAAGTAGTTAACCTATGTTTGTTTGTTTTATTGACACCACAGCTGTAAAAAAGATGTGACAAATATGTGCATTTTTATCACGGATTTTTATGCTTATTGATTTTATCGTTTTTAAATAGATCATTCTAAGCAAAACCATTATAAACTAGATATTTGTTTTACTCCCTATATGTATGTGTTTGAAGGTTACCTTTTATTACTCTGGACATTTTAACGGGCTCGCGTTAAAAAAAATAACAGACGATGACATCAAGGACTCTTTTTAAGGTCAAACATGATGTTTGAATAGCGATTAATCGTAAAGGAACGTCCCCACAATCACTCACCAAAGTAATTAAGTATCTTATTCTGCCACAACGTGAGGTCTAGAAGATGAAGCTACAAAGGATCGTGTGCGTGTAATATAGAACGATAATTGAAAACTGTTTGCTAATTTTTGTCTAATATCAGAACAAGTAAACAATGAAAGAAGTATATTCAACCACAAAGTGAAAGCTATTCCTTTATGTTAGAATATGTACTTCGTCATAAACTATATGTTTTTCATAGATATAACGTTTTTATATGATTTTCTAACATACAAATTTCACTTACAACTTGCAGAATAGTAGCGAAAAAAAAAACAATTCTTAATCTATATAAACTGCATATTACAACGGAATTTAAAAGCACTATATTTCAGTTATTTAGCAAAATATTAAATATTTGCCTAATGCGGCTTTCTGGACTCTAGTTGAAACATAAATGGTTTCGTATTAAGAAAAACATATTTAAGTTTGCATTTGTTTGTTTGTAATTAAGCACAAAGCTACACAACGGGCTATCTGTGCTCTGCCCACCACGGGTATCGAAACCCGGATTCTAGCGTTGCAAGTCTGCAGACATACCGCTGTGCCACTGGGGGGGGGCACGCGTTTGAAACATACATGACATTTTGTGGCAAGTAAATCGGGATTTATATATATACTCGCAAGTGGTCATCTTGCTACATTGTATGGGTATGTAATTGATCAGTAATGATTTCATGTGATACAATTTTAGGATTCAAAATAACTGAGCTTTCATATTATAAACTAAATGAAGTATTTATCAGTCAACAGTATTTTTTTTTCCAGTAACGGCATCTATTAGTGCATGTACAACAAACGGCAAATATTTTTTCTTAAATGT